ACTCTATTACAAAGCCAAATTCACCCAACTGCGCCGACATCGTAGAATGGTAGAGAGTGAACTTAATTCAAAGCACAATCATAGTACGTATCTTTCAAGATCTATTTCTCAAAGTATCTAATTTTTAAACCAATACGCATAGTATACTGTAAGGAATTTTTTTGCTGGTACTTAAGTTTAGATTTTAAATGTTCGCAGTGATTAGACGACGATATTTACGATTACCGTACATTGCGTACAAAACAGTTGAAATCCGAAGAATCGTAACGCAAAAGGATCATAAAATTGCTAAAATTCGTAAAGCAATACTTTTACAATGGGTTTTCACGTAATTAAGTAGCAAATATCTTATATTCGTGTTTAACGCTGTGTTTATAAACACAGCGGAGGTTTAAAGTACTACGGATGTTTAATGAATTCTTCTACAACTTCTAGAAAAAACTGTTCGTTCTTTATTAGAAACGATAATACGATCGATTAAAGATCTATCTTAAACAGAACATCCCGAATGTATTGTAATGCGATGTATGAATTCATAGAAAATACTATAAATATTAAACATGATTATCATACTTTGCATTGATTTAAATAATATGCAATTCTTATTTCGAAATCATTAAATGGTACAGTTATATAGGAATAAATTAAACACGAACCTGTTTTCTCATTTATTTCAGAGTGTGATGTAAAAGACGAGCGGCTAAACGGCTGTGGCTCTAAGGATCTCGAACTTGCCCGTAAGTATTATACAGAAATTCTGTCTATCTGTTAACAAAAATCGAAACGCCATATTATCTTGTGCATCGCTTAAATGTATTAAATATATTCAATATATTACGATGTTCTGTAACAGGTATTGGAACGACGGGCAAGACCCTAGACCCAGAGAAAGGATCCATCGTTAAAGCAGACTTTGAGAAGGCCATCGAACTTACCGGTAACTTCGTTATTTCTTTTCTTTCCCTATATTACGATACATATATACGAATTTACTTGATTCTTTTCAGACTATGGCAAATTTCACTACTTCCTCCTCACGGTGTGCGGCTTCGTCAGCACCAGCGAAGAGATGGACGTAATCTCTATGTCCTTCATTCTACCTAGTGCACAATGTGACCTAAAGCTCGATACCCAAGCCAAGGGATGGCTCAACTCGATCATCTTTATTGGTATGATGGCGGGTGCTTACGCCTGGGGCTCCGTAGCGGATGCCCTAGGTCGTCGAAAGGTTCTCATCGCCATCTCTTTCACGAATGCCCTTTGCATCGTCGCCTCCAGCTTCAGCCAGTCCTATGAACTTTTCATGTTCTTCCGTTTTTTAAATGGCGCTGCGTAAGTCAGTCCATTTACACTTTGCATCTAAATTATTAACATCGTTCGTTTTTTTATTATATATACTCTGGCCAATTTCATCGACGTACATTAAAGTTACAATTTGAACGTTTGTAACGGCGATTTCAGCGACGATTTCGTCGATTACTTCGATATGCTACATACGGAGAAGCATATAGAATAGGGCGGAACGAAATATGAGGGAGAAATTATTCTGCGTTATTCGTAACTTCTAATAATGAAACTTTACTCTTAATATTCTTTAACGATACACGCTTGAATCGAGTTAAAATACTATGTTAAAATGGGTCGTAGATTATTAAAAAATACCAAAGTTTTGTATTATATTATAGTTTAATAGCGATATTTTAAAGGATATAGCAAATTTTATGAGAATTCACTGATTTTTAGACTTGGCGGCAGCGGACCTGTGATCTGGTCATATTTTGCTGAATTTCAACCGAAAGCAAAACGAGGCTCCATGCTGTCCTTCATGGCTGCATTCTGGACACTTGGAAACCTCTTTGTTGCTGGTAAATCTACGTAATCTTTTGATTAAATTTAATTATTATTAAATCAATATCGCGCTATACTCGCGTCATTGCCGTTTCTCGTTACAAAATAACATTGTTGTTTTAGTGTAAAAAGAAATTTGTGGTTCAATAAATGTATGCTTCTCTTTACCACCAGGTTTAGCATGGTCGATCATCCCTAACGACATCGGTATCGTAAGCTCATCGTTCACGTACAATTCTTGGCGAATCTTCCTGCTGATCTGCGCTGCTCCATCGTTTATCGTCGCGGGGCTACTCCTGCTGCTCCCTGAATCCCCCAAATACCTCTTGTCCTGCGGAAGATACGAAGAGGCACTCGATATTTTCCGTGGGATCTATGCCATTAACACTGGCAAACCGCGTGATAGTTACACGGTAAATACTATATATTCGTTGTTTTAATTAGCACTAAAAATTGTATATTTATATTTAGATACGTAATGATATAGACTATCTTATGTTTTCTGAATATAGAAATTCAGAAAATTCGAAAGAGTGTAATTTTAATTGTTACGATACGGGTTTAGGTAAAGGAATTAATTTTGGACGACTTCCAAGAACCGGAACCGAAGAAGAATACCGTTGAAAAAAACAAATATAAAACAATGCTCGCTGACATCGTAGACAATAGCAAGCAACTGTTCGTCTCACCGATACTTCGTTTCACCGTAATATCGATCATCATCAATTTCACTTTTCACATCGGTTATTACGGTCTCATGATGTGGTTTCCGGAATTATTCAATCGTTTCGACGAATTCCATCGTGATCATCCTGATGAAGTTGCTTCGATATGTCAAGTAACCGAATATGTAGTTCAAAAAGGTTCTCAAAGTATCGAGAATTTTTGCTTGGATAAAATTGGCGCTTCCGTTTTTATGGAATCGTTGATTACCGTTGCATCCGCCATACCCGCAAATATCGTCGCTGTTTTAGGAATGGATCGTCTTGGTCGTAAATTCTTTTTAGGTAAGCATTATTTAATATTTGCATAAATACTTTATCACACGCTATTAAATTTTTAACGTATTTTTAACATTTTTTTTTCGTAGATGGCCGATTTTTGAGAAAGGTAGAAGAGGAAAGACATTTATTATTTTTTACATTCGATAGATTTTTTTAATACTATATATTTCATATACAACACGTTCATTGTCAATTTTGATATAAAACTTCAATTTTCTATAGTTGTTGATAGATTTAATCTAATTTAGTAGTCTAAAGCAACAGAATTTTACTATTGTACTCGATAAATGTAGATAGCCTTCTAAAATGAAATCTTTGGATGTTAGAGTAAATCTTTGAACTCTATTGTAATGTATAACTAATAATTTAATATTTAAAAATTTTTTTGTTTATTCCGACAATTGTATTTTGTGTAAAAGATACTTTGTCCTCTTCTATTTTTTTTAACGAATCTACTATTTACAAGGATAACGCCGAGAATAACGTATAACTACTTAGCATTTATGCAAATGGCAATGTAAATAAAATACATTATTTGCAGTGTTCAGTACATTTTCATCAGGGCTCTGTTCAATCGGACTGTATTTCGTATACAACAAGCACCATAATCTGATCGTTTCGGCAATCTTTAGCGGTGTGATAAGCTGCGGAAACGCAGCCTTAGACTGTCTAATAACCGAAGTTTTCCCGACGCCACTTCGCGCTACAGGAATTGCTATTTCCATGGTTGCGGCCCGTCTCGGTGGAATTATTGGTAACATCGTAATAGCTCAACTCCTGGACATGTATTGTCCAGCACCAACTTTTATTGTTGCTGCTCTTCTAATAGGTAGATATTTTTAAGTTTTTTAAATGCTAATTAAAATGCTATTAACGTTAAAATTTACGTTACGTCGATTTGTATACGTCATGTAAATAGTTACATGGAAATCGATACATATTTTATAAGAAAAATGAGCAAAAATGTCATCATCTTTTATATATTGCTTAAACTCATTTTACCAAATGAATTTGTTAAAATCTATTTATACATCCATATTATGCCATGGGCATAATTCTTCTATCTCTGATAGTTTCTAAGATAGTTCGCAAAAAATGTACTTCCAATTTTAAACTCAAAACAGAAGAAAATTACTTTTGACCACTTGTTAAGACAAGCTCGCTTACTACACATATAGATATGTTTATTGAACAAAAAAATATCTTTTTGAGATTTCTACATTTTGAAACAATTTGTACTTTTTTTTCATTTTTATCTTTTAATTAATAAATGAATTGAATTTTACTAAATAGTATAAATTATATTTCTCTTACAGGTGGAGGATTATTATGCTTATTCTTACCAAACACAACACGGGAACCACTTTCTTGACACCAGTGGAAAGTTACATCAGACCAACTAAATCAATGTACAATCATACACGTACCCTTCCAATTGCTAAACTTACCATATTTCAAAACAACACATTGTATGTTCATGCATTTGTTCGCATTTACTCATGAAACGATTCATTGTAAACAACGTATGTCGTGACGATTGAGCATCACATTCCTATTTTACATATCAATCTCGAATGACAATAAACAAAGTTGTATTAACAATTAGAATTCGTAGTAGATAGTAGAGGATATGTTTTTCAAGAATAAATGAAACACGAATACACAATTTCCTACAGTATCTTTCTTTGTAGAAAAACAAAGATATATTATTTCTATTATATGTTCAAATATTAGATATATCGTGACACTCCAATCGTGTGTGAATTTTGTGTATTATTCGCTAAACGTGAAATGTAGATACAGCATTTACGCTGATAATTCATGTGGTGTTTGTAAAATTTTTGTTATGTACTTTTGTATCTCTTGTCCATACTCCTGACACAGCCATCATATTTATAAGATGTAACAATTACAAAATGTCTGAAATGTAAAACAACGATGTAACTATGAAAGAAAGTAAAGAAATTTAAGAAAATTGAGCTTTTTCCTCTATAGTGTACCCATAATCCTTTAGATTCTTATCTTAAATTTTATTATAGAAATATTATTAAATTTCAATAGAATTTGGCCCAAATTATTTATTCCTCTGTTAAGAAAAATGTACATACATGATAATGAAAAAGGATAGAAATGAAGTGAAAAAATTACGAGACCAATGTAATTTTCATTTTTTCCATTATACATTCAATATCGAGCTAATATTTAAAATTATTCTCTCATCATTTTCTCCTTTTGTCTGGCGAGTTTTTTCTTACTGAGCTTCTTTTTCGATGGCTCTTCTTCCGGGCTCTTTACTACAAAATCTTCTTTCTCAGTCAAAATTACCTCGATGTGACACGGTGAACTCATGTAAGCTATGGAAACATACAAAATTTTACTGAACTATTGATTAAATTGTGAAATGCATATATTTTAAACGAATGTTCTAAATACGTACGGTTAATACGACCATGAGCTCTATATGTTCTTCTACGTAAACAAGGGGCATGATTCACTTGAATGTGGTTAATTACAAGACGGTCAAGATCTAGTCCACTGGCATCAGCATTACTCTCAGCATTTTTTAACAGCTGGAGTAAAAATTCTGCTGACTTTTTGGGCCAACGACCTGAATTTAAAGATAATAAAAGTAATTTTAAGTATTAGAGAGAATTAGTAAATTATTAATTATTTATTGTGATTTACCTTGTGTGGTACCAAATTGTTTTGCTTGAGCACACCTGCCCACACCACCATTAAATCTACGGAATGGTACACACTCCTTGTGTTCAATTACATTTTTCAAGTATTTCTGCGCCCTTCGTAGGGGCATGTTCTTAATAGCACGTGCTGTTTCATGCGTATTCTAGAACATAGAATAGCAGTAAACAACTAGAAAATTTATTAAATAAAACAAACCATTCCAGTATAGCATTTTGTAAACACAACTTAGACTGTGAGGTTAAGTTTTTTGAAATATAGTTGTTGTTTTATTTACTTTGAAATGCACTCGCAGATTCGATCCACGTGCTTTGCACGATTTGCTTGCATTTACTGGTTCGTGAGAGTAACGTCCCATCGTGTTCTGAAATTATAGAAGTCGACGATAATTTTTCACATCGGCCTTTTGCAATAGCTGTCGCGACTTAACCCTGCCATCACTTATATTTGGTCCCCGATAATTATCGTTTACCAAATATTTTTGTTACACTTTTTCCACAATATTATTATTTGGTATCACGTCTTTAGAGATTTCAGAGTTTTAATGAACTTGTAAAAATGAAATCGAAGATGTAAGCAGATTCCAAAATTGCTATTATACAAGTCATACATACCTTTTAACAGCACGATTTTAAAGGAAAAAGCATCACGCGTGTAACTAGAAACTAGAAAGACATTTCCTGTGACGCACGTATTACCAACCTAAAATATGTCGAGTAAAAAAACCATAAAGAATACTATTTACTTTATTTTAATTAAATATGATACAAGTACGCCTAGATTAGACCATAATTTCAATATATAATTTTATTTTGAATTATACTTGAAAGTTCTATACATTTTATATAATTTCACGTTTGAATAATTTAATTCTTGATTATGGAAATTAATCACATTTTAAATAATAATTTATAATTAATGGATGGTTATTTATATGTTTACATTGATATTAATGGTATTAGGGAGTATTGTATTCTAATTGAAGTCTTATTGTATTAGATCAAATTATTACAGTTTTTAGATAATTTATTTCTAGGAACTTTTTAAACGAGTAATATACGTGTTTGTCGTTGTCCCGGGAAGATTCGTATAACCTCTTCTTATTTGCACAATATTTGTAAAAAATATGCATACTTGTGCTATTTCGTGATTGTTGTTATTAAATTAACAATTTTTCTAAACAAAATATACATTTTTTCGTTGCTCGCCAAAAAATCTAATTAAACAAAGAATTTGACAGATCGGAGACTGACAGTTCAGCTTTAACAACATTTCGAGCTGGGGCTACTCCTTACAAAATTTTCGAATGAAATTCACAATGAGAACGTATATGATTGTATATGTATTATAATTTAAAGATACGATTAGGAAAACTTTCGATCGAATAAATTTTCGATTGACTAGATAGCTGTATTTAATCTACAATAACATTATTGACAAGTGTAATATTTGTAAGAATTGTTAAAGATAGTTATTCAACCTTGCAATCCAAATGTCAAAAAACAAGTTAAATTTGACACTGCCACCTGGTTCGATAGAACCAGTTCCAGTTGTGTCACCGTCACCACCAGTACCACCATTACCCATTTATTCTGAGCCGCCAGTAATTCCAGAGTAATTAATTCTTTCATTAAAATTTTTATTATTAAAGACAAATATTGTATTTATTTATATGCAAATACTAATTTTCATTTATTTCAATTACAGCGGAGTTATGGGAAAGATGAGCATAGATGCCATTCAAGAAAGATTAAAGGAATTAGAAATGGATGAGGAACAAAAGAAGAGGCTAGAAAGCTTTTTAGGTCAAAAAGAAAAGGTCGGAGAATTATGTGATGAAGATTTTGAAAAGCTTGGAGAACTTGGTGCTGGTAATGGCGGTGTTGTCATGAAAGTGAGGCACAAAAAGTATGGACTTATAATGGCAAGAAAGGTGTGACTTATCTATCTTCAATGTGTTTATTTGCTTCAATTTGGAATTTATTGTATTATAATGATCATAATTTCAGCTAATACATTTAGAAGTCAAACCTGCCATTAAGAAACAAATAATTAGAGAACTGAAAGTTCTGCATGAGTGCAATTTTGCACACATAGTTGGCTTTTATGGTGCTTTCTATAGGTAATATAGTAATTTTATCTAATATAGTAATTACCTACAAAGTTAACATATTCAACACATTAACATATTTACATTAAATATAAAATATTTTGCCTACTATAGTGATGGAGAAATTAGTATATGTATGGAATATATGGATGGTGGTTCATTAGATTTAATACTGAAAAAAGCTGGAAGAATTCCAGAACCTATATTAAGCACAATTACTTCAGCAGTAAGTACACTCACTCTTCGTTATTCTACCCTATTTTGCTCAAGGATACAATTTTCGCTTTTATACTTATTGATAGCATTCCATAAACAAAACCATGATGACATCATTAATTGAAATACTTCAACATTAGTTATGAACTTTAGACAAATATTCAGTAGTAAGTTTCCTGTTCTATAATTCCACCAGGAATCTTCCGAATACATAGTCTTCTTAATTCGTCATATATCCAAAGAAATGCACCAAGTGGTAGACATGGCCAGTACCAATAAGAACTCAATGGCATGGTTTTAAATATCTTCTCAGTTCCTGGCACATATAGCAATATACCAGTTAAGATAATTTCGAAAATAAAGGCAAAATTTAAAAACCAATTATCCATTCCTTGCTGTAGAATCGAGTTAACTCTCGTTTTACACATTATCAAATCTACAAGTTGTGTTATAACGATAGTTAAGAAATATCCGGTACGAGCTTCATTTAATAAATCCATTCTAGTATCATAGGTCCAAGTTTGACCATAAGAATCTTGCAAGTCGTTAATTGACTTATTTTCCCAATCTAATCTTAATCCTACCAAACGGTCAGGTAAAAATCCATTTAACATAAGAATTAAGAAAAAAGTGTAAAATGCAGCTAAAGATTGAGTCATTCCAATCTGACCATAGGCTACAGATATTAAACGTTTGTTTACAAGTTGATCATATTGAGGATTCCTCGGTGGCCGATACATGATATCGGATTCGGCTTTTTCATATGCTAATGCTATAGCAGGAAGTAAATCCGTTCCTATATCTATGCAGAGGATCATCTCAAGAATAAAGGGTAAAGGAATGACGAATAGAATACTGCTTAACATTGGCAACATTTCAGGCACACTAGACGTCAAAGTATAAACAATGGATTTCTTAAGATTGTCAAATATCAATCTACCTTCTTCAATACCAGTTACAATCGATGCAAAGTTATCGTCCATCAGGATCATATCGGCTGCATTTTTCGCTACGTCAGAACCAGTAATACCCATAGCCACGCCAATATCTGCTTTTCTTAATGCTGGTGAATCATTTACGCCATCGCCAGTCACTGCGACAATTTCACCCAATCGCTGGCAACTTTCCACGATATATAGTTTTTGTTGCGGAGATGTTCTTGCGAAAACGATCTCTTGGTACTTCTTTATAAGGTCATCTAATTCTATAGTGTCCATATTCCGTAATTCGCAACCGGTAATGATAGTCGCGTGTTCGTCAGAATTGGTTATTTGAGAATACGATTTGCTCTGTATTAACTTACGCTCGTAACTAGTTTCGTGTTCTTCACTTATTATACCGACCTTCTTCGCTATAGCCATTGCAGTTACCGGATGGTCACCCGTTACCATGATCACTTTGATACCAGCTGTGCGACATTTTCTCACAGCTTCAGGAACAGCTGGTCTTGGTGGATCTAAGAGACTTATTAACCCAACGAATCTGTAACCTTCATTAGGAAAATTGTATGAACTTGGAGAATCAGTGTTAAACTCATAGTTTAGACCATAAGTATAACTGGGCAGATGAAGATCACAGTATGCTAACACACGTTCACCCAGGTAGCCTAATTCTTCACAAGCTTGTCGACATGCTGAGTGGTCTAATGGTGTCATTTCTTTTGTTTCTCCTTCCGTAGTCAGTATGTGAGTGCACTTCTCCAAGATCACCTCTGGAGCACCTTTCAGGATTATAATATATCCATTGTTGTCTCTGTGTATCGACATGTGATACTTATTTATAGAGCTAAAAGGAATTTCTGCCACTTTTGGATACATATCTCGAAATGGCTCCGTTGGGTGGATGTGCTCGCAGAATTTGAGGATACCTGTTTCAGAAGCATCGCCAATCACATTTCGTTCCTCGATTGGTTTCAGTAAGACAGATTCAGTGGTGAATTCTGCCCGTAAACAAAGCGTAGCATTCTTGAGTATCACTTGGAAAGCTGGTTTCTCCATTAGTAAAGTTTTCTCAATACCTAACATCTGATCAGGGGGACAATTATATCTGGTGAAGCCAACCCATAAATTGGACACAGTCATCCTGTTTTGTGTAAGAGTGCCTGTCTTATCTGAACATATAATCGATGTGGATCCCAATGTTTCCACTGCTTCTAAATTCTTAACCAAACAATTCTTGTTAGCCATTTTCTGGGCTGTTAATGTCAAACTTGTAGTAACAGTTACCAATAAAACTTCTGGCACGTTGGCTATGATGATGCCAAGTAAATAAGTGGATGCTTTCACTATGTTGGGAGTAAGTAACAATGATAAGCCAAAGAATAATACCCCAAATAATACAGCAATAGTGATGATTATTTGAACAAAATGTTTGATTTCTTTGGCTATGGGAGTTTCGGATTTTTCAAGGTATGTTGTAAGTCCAGCAAGACGACCTATCATTGTTTGGTCACCAGTAGTCATTACAATTCCAACACCAGTGCCATCCACAGCAAAAGAGGAAAAGAAGGCAACATTAGAGGATTCTAAGGGATTCTCGTCGGTAGGATAGTCTGTACGAGGTACTGGTTCGCTTTCACCAGTGATACTCGAATTTTCAACTTGAAGTCCTTGACATTCGATAATCCTGATATCGCCTGGTATTTTATCGCCAGTTTTAATTTCCACTAAATCGCCTGGGACTATGTCTTCAGCTGGAATCCGCATTTTAACACCTTCCCGTATTACCATAGCAAAAGTTGGTACCATTTTTTGAAAAGATTCCATCACCTGTAAGATATTATAGAAAAAGATTCATTAATATCATACTTTGGATGTTTTTTAAGTTATATGCACTCTGTGCATTTTAACATGATTAAACTTCCTGTAAATGCATAAACATCCACAGTATAACAACGAGTGATTTGTTTACCTTTATATTTTTGCTCTCTTGTATATATGAGCAAAAACCAGAAAATAGGCAGATTAGCATAATAATAAGTCCTAACCATTCTGTGCCACCACCCTCACCTTCTGTCGCCATGCTAATTCCATACAAAATATAGCATAATAATGAACAGACCCACAACAAACCAGCGAATCCATGAAACATACACTTTATAAATTTAATATATTCCGGAATTACTTTTGGTGGTGTCAAAGCATTTGGACCCACTTCAAGAAAAACTTTGGTTGCCTCTTCTTTAGTCAGACCAGTAACTACATTGGTATTTAATTTCTTACATAACTGTTCCAAAGGAATCATATGATCTTGTGTTGTCAATTCCTGTTGAAGTTCCCTGATTTCTTCATCAGTAAGCTTCTTCTTACTGATTTGACTGGGTGATTTTTTTAGAACCTTATTTGCTGCATGGAACATTTCGAAATATATAAAATTCACCACATTAAGTATAATGCTATTGTACTTCTGCAAAATCTGTTTTTTCTTTTCTTTTTTTTCAGAATTCAGCTTTTTTAATGGCAGACATTTTCATGGCCTCCTTATTCTACTTGTAGATTACAATTTTGTTTTCTGTCACAGGTTTTAAAAGGTTTGAGCTATTTGCGAGATAAACATGCAATTATGCATCGGGACGTAAAACCAAGCAATATTTTGGTAAATAGTGCTGGAGAAATAAAAATTTGTGATTTTGGTGTCTCCGGACAATTAATTGATTCCATGGCTAATTCATTTGTTGGGACGAGAAGTTATATGTCGGTAAGAATTTATGTAGTTATAATTGCATTATTATCTTTAATTTTAATAAATGTCATGCATATATAAGGAATATTAAAATATGTGAAACTGCAGACAAGCTATCTCATCTCTGATTTTAATGATTTTTGCATACGTTGTAAAACTCAACATTTTGAACAACTTTTTCCTATACGTATTACCGGCGATCTCGCTTACTTTTCGAGATATTTCGTAAAAATCTGTCAGTACTATTGCGTGAATTCTACCTATAGTTGTATGGCAGCGTATGTGTCAGTAATGGTTGCCAGTTGCTGGCATCTTATCTTCTGTTTATAAACGAGAGTTGGGTGAGCTTAAAGCCTCATGCACAACTGCATATGCGACGCTGTAAGATATATCTATTATAATTTATAACTCAATTAAAAATGAATATCATCAATGTATTGGATTTGAGTTAGACTTCTCAACGTTGTAAAGAGATCGGCAATGCTTAGGTAAAATAATATCAATTGTTTATTCGTCTATTATTTTCTATTAACTTGTTATTATTTCATGCTATTGAAAAACCTTAGAATCGCAGACTCACAATCTATAGGCAGAATTCAATGTAATGGTACCAAAAGTTTGTTGCGAATACCTTGGACAATAAGCAAGACCGTCAGTTATATGTATAGGAAAAGGTTGTTCAAAATGTTGATTTATGTGACATATCTCGAAATTATTGAAATTGGAGATGAGGTAGCTTTTCTGTAGTTCCACCTTAAAATGTTTGATATGAATATTTGCATTTTTAGCCAGAGAGATTACAAGGCACACATTACTCTGTACAAAGTGATATTTGGTCCCTAGGATTATCACTTGTGGAAATGGCAATTGGAATGTATCCAATTCCACCTCCTGATGAAAAAACTTTAGCTGCGATATTCAGCTCTCCACCAGGTCAACCACCTGTGGAGAATGTTGCTACAAATAATGCTTCTACTCCAACAACGCAATCACCTGGACACAGTTAATTTACTATTTTCTTTTTTTTTTTGTATCTATTATATGGAATGTTTTATACATTGTATTTTTTTATATTTTTTATAGATACAGGTAGCCCAAGACCAATGGCTATATTTGAATTATTGGATTATATTGTAAATGAACCACCACCAAAATTGCCTGCTGGTATCTTCAGTGATGCTTTTACAGATTTTGTGGACCGTTGCTTGAAGAAAAATCCCGCCGAAAGAGCAGATTTAAAAACGTTAATGGTATGTGTTTTATTTCACATGACTGTCTATTTAAATGAAACAATTATTGTTCTTTTGTCTTTTCTAAATTGCTCTCCTTTTTTTATTCTTAGAACCACGAATGGATAAAAAAAGCTGAATCTGAGAATGTAGATATCGCTGGTTGGGTATGTCGTACAATGGATCTACAACCAACTACTCCAACCCGTTTGGCGAACGTACAATCCTGAATAAATGTCACTCTTACATACTTGACTACCTATATACGCGTTCAGTACTCTTAAGTAAATTTTCGTTTCTTTTCGTTAGATTAATATAAACAGTGACGTTCATAAATTTCATTTCTTTCTCTTTTTTAGCATTCTAATAATTCATGAAACGAAAATCTTTCGCGATTTTGAAAACAGACTTATTTACTAGAATTTATGATAGTTTTTTCTTTTACTATATTTTATATAATATTGCTCAAATATTCATAAACCGTTTGAGCGACAGCATTTATCGAGTAGAACTTAAGAGTATTAATATAGGTTTCGATATACGTATCACTGATTTATTCCTTTTTAAATAATCGTGTTTAGTGATTTAAATGTATAAGCTTTTAGTTATTAATTGTATCAGAATGTATTTTACGTAAAGTGCCGAATTTTTGTTTGATATTAAATTATTTTTCATCGTACGTTACAGTCTGATTTTGAAGTCGCGATAACAATCGTGTTAGAACGTGGTTGAATAATATGAACATTTTTAATGTATATACGATTATCGTGAAGTACAGAAATTTTATATTGACATATAAAATTGCATGCAACGCGTCACTGTGCTTGATCTTTATTTCGTTTTCCAGGTATTTCGTACCTTTATCTTATGATTCTGTTGAAAGTATGTAAGATAAACAATTATCCTTATAAGTTTAACGTTTATTGTACACTCATGGGCAAGTTATGTTTCCTATGATGATATTAGGATACATATGGGCATCGGATTTATGAAGACATAATTTGAAGAGAGAAGTGTTAACTAGAGAACAAGTTACTAGTATAACATTTGTACCTGACATTCGTAGAGCATTATTCACACCATTGAAAAAGAACTTTTATTTAGTCATTGCGAGAATGCTATGATATCTTTTATGAAACATCAGTCCGCGATTGAACAAAATTTCAAATTATAGTTAAATAAAATAGTATTTCAACAAATTGATACAAACTTTTGTATTTCTACTGTTTTGAAAAGTTCTGAAATCTTTCACGATAATAATAATAATGATAATGTATTTAGAATATCGTTATATAAAAATTGTATCATCAACCATAATATTTATTATAATTGTTGTATAATATGGTTACAATAATTATGAAATACTATTTTATTAAACATCAACTAATGTGAGACTTTCAAATCATAAGGAAGACATATTAAAAAACGATAAACAATACCTTTTTAAACATTTTATCTCTTCTCTCAACAGTGCATGTTAGACCCATATCTTTTTAAAAATACGTACGTTTATCGTATTTTCTCACATATATCGCGGTCTGAGACGTTGCACTTCATAGGTGAAATTAACAACATAACTTTGATGCGCGTCCATGTGTTCACACGATAATGAATATACATGATTGTATGTACTGTATAGCTGTGAATCAAGTCTTTCCCGCGCAATTTTTGCGAACTGTGTTTGAAAGATTCGGAGCCACTGTCTGGCTACCTTCGTATTTACACATACTTCAACAATTATATGTAATTAAAAGATGTTAATAATTTTTATTGTATCTATGATTAAGGGAAACAATTTGAAAAAGGTTGAAATTTCTTGAACCTTTATTCAAACAAAGCGTTCAATCAAAATACTACAAACGTAGAAATCAATAATTCTTTTTTGTTACAAATAATCAGTTGTTTCTCTTAGTCGAACAATATTTGGTCCGTAATAATAGACAGATGTTTAATATTGTACAATCCAGTAGACATAGTTGCTTATCATTGTAATGTGCCGATAAAAAATGTCTATATGTACATAGTATAACAATATTATAAGCATTCTTATTCTATTGTATGTAAACGTTATACGTTACGATTTCTGTTTCCTATCGAAAGTGTCGTAATGAAATTATTAATTGAGAATAATGAGAAAGATCCGTTATATATATGTATGGAGGTTCTAGTTATAGTATATCAACCCCATAGATATTCATGTTTGCTTAGCCATTACTTTTTTACATGTGCGATTGCCAGTTTAGGTGTTAGCCTTTTTCCGATTTGGCTTAAAAAAATATCGGAGTGTACTACGAGCGTATTGTGATGTTTGCAAGCACAGTGGGAATATCCACTTATGTGCCTAAGCGTAAGACGCTCAAGAACTGATCTTTCATATTATGTTTATATGTCCTATAACAATGTGCGTAATCCTATTTACTATATTTCGTGATATATCGTAAACAGAAAGAAACATTTTTCGATAAATCCTGTTAAGAAAATTATGTAAGATATTATTAACATACAACCATAAAATGATTCTGTTCACCAAACAGCGAATTTTAATTGTCAAAAGGATAATTACTTCTGGCACTTACTAAAAATATATGGATATTCCTTGTTGCAAATTTGTGCATAATAATTGCCGCTGTATCGATTCACTGTCTAAATGTTGTAATTATTCAAAGAATAAATTTATCCTACATTGAAGCATACTCTTTATGCATTGAAATCCGAATATTAGAAATAAAATATACACTACGTATATTTATGAAAATATTAATTTGTCTCACTAAATACAAAGTAATAAATTTCGTTTTTATTAACATTAATTTGAGCATGTCGCTATAATACACAGTATTTTGATTTAGATTAAAGTAGAGTTCTCTACCTCTACTTAGAGTTCTCTATTAGATAGATCTATATTTACTATTTGCAGAAACGGTAATATCTTATCAAATGTACTAAGATCTACTGAAGTTCCGCCGACAAATATTTTCAAAATGGTATTGTTAGTTCGATTAACCGTAACCGTGGCAGCTTCTTTTAGCGTTTCATTCGTAATACCCCGACATCCTGATAGATCTAGTAATTCCAACTGTGGCGCGTATTCAAGAAAATTAATCATTGTTTTATCTATAAATTTGCAAGCCCGACACTCTAGCTGTTTTATGTTGCACGTATCTTGTAAATTTATATCGGTTACTAATTCTAAGTAGTTGATTATTAATACTTCTAATTTGGGTAAAGCTGTTACAGCAGCTATACTAATATTTGTAACGAGCAAACATTCTGCAACAGATAAAAAATTATGTGTATTACACGTAAATTATTTTCAAATGATATTTGACTTACCAGAAATGTCTAGATATTTGAGTCGCAGGCATGTTGATGCCAAATTAGTACAAAATTCGTCTGTGACTAACGCATTCATACTGATTTTCAGCACTTCAAGATTAGTCAATTGCGCAATATGTAACATGTCGTTCGGATGTAATAAAAACGAAATATAGGAGACCTCTAATGTTTTTAAATTTGTACAATTTTTACCGATAGTCTGGATAACGTTACCAGATACGTCAATACATCTATTCGTCGTAAGTGATTTCAAGTTTCCTAATTTCGAAAATGCCTGAAAAGTAGACATTGTTTGTTAAAATCAACATTTTTAACCGTTTGAATCCCAAGAAGCGCGATCGCGCTGTTTAGATTTTGTGTCGAAAAGTCCCAGTACATTTGAACGCTACGGACGACTGACGGTATTTTGTATTTCATTGTTATCTTCTCAATAATTTTTATTGAACAAAACTTGAAATACTTATAAACTAATAATACGCATATATAATAATATAGATGTATTTCATAAAGTAACAAATGTGACGAGTGCTATTGTGCCGCTTGTTTCTCTTCGCAATAGATTATGACAAGCGCTATCGCGCTATTCGGGATTTTTCGACCCTGTTTTTTCAAAGACCCCTGGGACTCAAACGGTTAAGAGGTAAATAAAACAAACTAAGAAGTTTACTTGTGTTAACGAATGTTCTTGAAGACAGGTACAATATTCTAAGACAATTTCTTCCATTGTTTGTAATGGCAAATACAGTAAACACCGCCCGCTTATTTTACTGCTATACGCTTTAAAATATCGTAACTTTGGATTCACTTTAAATAATTTTTGTAGATCTATATCACAAATGTAGGTGGTAGAACCAAGACTAAATTTTGTAATGTTGTGACAATTATCGATTAATGAATTGATACCAGATGCAGAAACAACAACACCAGTAATATCTATTTTTTGTAAGTTAGGGCACAGTTTCGCAACAATAGTTGCTGTACTCTGACGTAAAGGATATGGTACTATGGACAGATTAATTTCGTTTAAATATGGACCACATCGCAGTAATACTTTGCGAACGGTACATATACTAATTTCTCTTCCATTTAAGCCAGATAAGCTCCACATGGATAAATCCAGTCTTTTCACACTACTCCAGGACTCTTGACTTAATGCTTTCCATCTTTTGCACACTACAATTATTGAAAAAATGTTGTATTTACTTTGTGTATAATATATTTAACTACATATAAATAAAATTTAAATATTAAAATACAATTTAAAACAATAATAATACTATAACAAAATTTATGTGCTTACCTCTTTCTATTCTAATTCTATCTATAATTGGCAATTGAAGAAAAATGTGTATTAAACAATCATCATTTAATGTTTGAATATTAGTATCTGTAATGCCATCTTGTATGCAATCAAAGTTATGTGCAATGTCATTTGATATTTTGTTAGATTTTGATTTATCTTTTATGTTGTAACATTGATTTTCTATGCTATCTGGTTGATGCCATGAATCAGCTGCCAAGACTCTTAAATCTCTGTTGTGTAATCTTATTCCTTCATCATATCTAGCACTACGAATCACCGTATAACATCAAAACTATAATCCTCTTACTTGTAATTTCATCTTCATGTTTATTGGAATTGAAGTTTACCTTGCGGCTGCTTCTACGCTGTTAAACGTAATGAATGCGTAGTTACTGTTTCCTTGATTTCTTCGTAAGAAGCAACTTTCAACATTTCCATACTTGGAAAATAATTTTATAAGATCTTTAAACGATGTCTAAAAAAAGAAACACTTTGTTGTTAGATTTGAAATACACTGATTTGTATATTTCAAGAAAACATTATAATGTTAAAAAAAAATATACAAACCCTCTCTGCTAAGTTGCTGATAAATAATTTTCTAATTGGTACGCCATCTTCAGTAACAAGTGAAAAAAGTGAAATATCTGTAATAAATGAATCAAATGTGAAAAATAGCTATGTCAAAACGTATGAATTAACCAAACAATTTCATATTTCATTACTGGTTTCTTCCATGATGTGACTGTGATGTAAACTGTTAGCAAGATATTCTTCTATGTAATCGGTCATTTTTATGGTTGATAATTCCTTTTCTTCCCTACTCTTTTTTTATTGGTATGATCTTCGTTCATACTCTTGAAATCGATATAATTCAAGAATAAAGATACGCTCATTTGCTCACATATATTTATGTGTGGCTGACTCAGGTCAACGTCACGGAATATAACCTTTAAATCCTTAACATAAATATACAAGAATATTTCAGGCATATTTCATTATTTTTTACTTACAACATAATAAATACTAAGAGACAAGAGAAAGAAAGAAAGAATATTAATTCAAAGTAAAATTGTTTACAGATATTACAATTCACTTAGTTTATTACCTTATGTGTAAAGTTATATTTTATTTATATCTTTTTGTCATTGATGTTCGTAAATATATGTAATAAATTATCTCGTTACGCACATCGTGAAATGGTTTATTAGAATGTATTCATTGTTTTAGATAAGATAAATTTCTCTCCATATATATATATATATATATATATATATATATATATATATATATATATATATATATATATATATATATATATATATATATATATATATATATATATATATATATATATATATATATATATATATATATATATATATATATATATATATATATATATATATATATATATATATATATATATATATATATATATATATATATATATATATATATATATATATATATATATATATATATATATATATATATATATATATATATATATATATATATATATATATATATATATATATATATATATATATATATATATATATATATATATATATATATATATATATATATATATATATATATATATATATATATATATATATATATATATATATATATATATATATATATATATAATACATACAAAGGAAGTACATATATGAAATAATAAATATACACATTTTTAGAAAATATGTTTATTTATTCATTTAAATTTTGCATATAATAGTCGATTTTCTTTTGCTTTTGTTTTATTTCTTCATAAACTTTATTCCACGATCCATAATTAAAATTGGTAATTTCTTCTAATTGATTTAAATAATTTTGAGTTTTCTGTAGTATCTTTCTGTAACAAGAAGCCACAAATATTATAACTTTGAAATATTTATAATTTATAGAGAACTGCAAAAATATTTACTTATATGTGTTTGTATTAATATTTAGTTTCTTTTCTAGATATATAAGACATATATCTGTAAGATCATTTAATTGGTTAAGAAGTTCTATACTAGAGGAACCGAATTTTTCTCTCACTGTTGCAAGTATGTTTTCAAAACATGTTATGCTATCTATCCATTGTCCTAAAAATTAATTTTATCATTATTGTACTACTATATTATCCTTGAGCATACAAACCCATTGTTTTATATATTTCTCCCATAAGAATTAATGTATCTGTAATATCTTCATTATATTCATATAACACTGTTCTTCTAATATGTAAACATTTTTTTAATTTATTTAGTGCTTCTTTCGTTTTTCCTAAATCAACAGAAACTTGGGCTGCTTCAAAAATTTCTTTAGCTTGTATTATTTTATTTGGGGAATAAATTTGAGATTTGTCACCACAATCCAAACAATATATAGAATCTTTTATATTACATACTGGACCATTACATTTCAGGCATTTCGCAGCATTAAATCTTTCCTGTAATTATAATCCTATTATACAATTATAATGTGACCCAATATATACATTATAACAAAACTGGATTCAAAAATCGAAAATAGTTTTCATACTCACTGTAAAATATTGTAATTTTGGTAGAGTGCATGCTTTACACTTACAAGTAAAACAGTAATGACTTTTTAAAATCTTTTGTCTATCTTCTGTTGTCATATGTCTATAATGTGGCCCTAATGACAATTTTATTATATTAGTAAGTTCCTTCCACAATTAAAACAAGATACAGTCTTAAATAATGTACCATAGCAGTTGAAAATTTCTTCACTTTGACCAATGTCTCTCGAAGCTCTGACAATAAGGTATTGACCCACAAAGCTAAAATTTAATAAGACAAATGTATTTGATATTGAAGTATATAAATATATATATATATATACACATATTAAATAAATTTTAGGATTACATGTTAATTATATTGGGATCACACGAATGGTTCATCATGCTTGCAGAAGGATAAATTCCTGTAGCTATAATATCTTGTTGTTTCATAGAAGAGTCATTTTTTCTTAATAGTGTATTTGATTTTGTAATTGCATGTCCATTAACAATAAGTTGAAGAATATATCGTAAAAGTAAAGAACTTACATAAAGTTGCTTGTCATTGGTTGTTAAAATATTAAACGAAGTGTTCAATGAATTATTTGGGAATTTTTTCTTTAAACAGTCTTCAAGATTACTTGATTGAAAGAAGTTTGTATACTTCAATAAATATATGGTGAGCATAACAGCTGTCTGTAGAAGTTATGATTAGATAATTACACAAAACATTTTTTCTTTAATGTATTTTTCATCTTGAAATATACATACAACTCCATATACTGTTAACTCATCCATAGATAATTTATCGAAATTAGTAACTAAATTTTGTATTTCATTAAATTTGATTTCATCTGTCATAGTTGAACAAGTTAATAAAACTTTTAAGGCTAAATGCCCTATTCCAATTTCTTCCCAAAGTTTCATTTGATTTCCTGGACATTCCCAGCAATGATACAAAGACCATGCTTTAGTTGAACAGTATTCATTGCAATAAAAGGTATTTAAACATGTTGTACACCTGAAGTAATATAATATCATAAATCTTTTGTACTGTGGAGAAAATATTTAATATCAAAGTGAACGTCCTACTTACGGAACAGGAATGTCTGCGTTTTGGCAATTACAATGTGGACACCGATTATATGTATCATGACTTAGTACCACAAAACTTACAGGTTTTTCCAGAAAAAGAATATCACCTTTCTTAATAGATTTATTTGCTATTACGTGTCTTCCTAATTCCTGGTTGTATATTCTATCTATAGCTACAGATGCATTAGGGAAATTAGTATTTTCTTCAAACGTAATGTGGGATTTTAATTTTAACAAATCATCAATATCTTGTACAAAATTTTGTACAATATTTTGTTGAAACGACTCAGCAAATGTTATATTATTTATCTTTTTTTCAATACTACCTAGAAGTTAATAAAATATTTGATTATAAAGAAATTATCATAAATTAGTAATCATAGTCATTTACTATTTACCTTTCATAGAAGGTGCAATATAATCAGAATCATGAATCATTTTTTGTATCTTGGAAAGTGTTTCTTTAGCTAATTGCTGTTTGCCTAATTTCAAATAACACTGTGCTGCGCGTAAATACAATTTATACTGCAACTCTTTAGGATAATTTAACTTAGTTGCTAGTTCAATATCTTTTATGCAATCCTTCTTATCATCAAATTGTATTAACCATGCATAAAATGCACATAAAAAGAAAATTGTAACATAATATTAAAATATATTATATATTGATGCATATTTTTAAAGTATTATTTACTTTTTACTCACATGATATCTATTTAAATAAAATAATGAAGCAGATCTATTTGCGATTGCAACTGCCAATTCACAACTATTTACAGGAGCATACAATGCACATTTTGTGTATAATTCTATGCTTTTAATATAGTTTTTTTCCTGAAATTCTTTATTACCCATTTTCTTGAAAATTTGTGCTTTGGAAATAGATTTACATTCTTTCCTGTCATAATGATCTTCCAACCATAAATACACAAGTTTCCTAAACATCAAATAAAATAAAATTTTAGATAGTAAAATGTAATAATATAAATTTAACAATAATAATAAATAAAAAATAATAACAAGTAATATAGATTTATAAAAAATATTAATTATTCTTTATGATAAATTTTGTTACTTACTTCATATTTTGATCATTCCATAAAATTGACATAAGTTCATCTTCACGTTTTACCTTTTTCTTTAAAACAGGTTTTAATTGATGTGTAAGAATTTCTAATACTTCTTGCCATTCCATTTTAAATACATTGGACAAGATATTAAATCAGAATTTTAGGTTATTTTATTTTTCACAAATCTTTAAAATGCTAATATACTTCATACACTTTTATTATCTATGTTATATTAAACAATACATTATATCATTCATTTATAATTTATACATTGAAAAAACAACATATTTTTACGTTATATACATATAAATTTCTATTCTTTATATTAACTGCAATGTATATAAGGACAACATTGTAATCGCGAATATTGTCATTTGTATCAATTTTGACAGAATGTATATGCATATACATATTATATATTTATCGAATATTATATGGTGATTTATTATGAATAAAAATTTCAAAATTATTATGATACATATACGTAATTACTTTGCCAACTTATGTATAAACTTATATTACGAAAAATACTTTAGTACAAAAATATATGTACATATATTTAAGCTAACAAATGATTATACCTTTCTATAAATAAATAATTTATAAAATGTATATATATATTTTGTTTTTGATAATCTATTTTGTTTTTAAATCTTACAAGAAACACAAATGTTCATCTACATAATTATTTAAGAACATAATTTTCAATTTATTTTTAAATTAAACAATTTTTAGGTACATAATTTTGTAATATTAGAAAACAAATAAAAGTAGCGATTTGTCTTTTCACTAAAACCTTAATATGTACAAAGAGCAGTTTAAATTACATATTTAATATAAGACGCCTTTTTACGCAAGGTTCCATTTTTTCATAATTATGCTGATAAATAAATAATAAATATAAATAATATAATATTATTTACAAATAATAATAAAATAATTACTGTTTGTCATAAGAAGCGTGATACAATAGATTTAGTCATAGATTCAGTTAATAAAAATATTAAGAGAAATGTTGAATTAATTTTAAATTTAGAATAAATTAACCAAAATTTCTAATTCACTTTAACTAAATGTTCTAAAGATAGTCAAGTGTAATTATTTGAAGATAAGAATAAACAATATATCTTTATTTCTGCGCATAAAAATATTAAGTTGTTCGAATCAGAAGTATTTTCATTACCAATAATAAAACAGGAGGTGATAGTAGAGACCGCTAATGATGCATCTTCGGTTATTGCATATTTCAAGTGTTGTATACGGAAAATATGACGAATAACGGTATAAAAACGCAAGTATATACATACACTTTGGTTGAGACTTTGTGCAGCAATTTTAGGACGAAACAGAATCAAATGCAAGATCATAATTCGAACCGATTGATGTTCACAATTGTATGTTCGAATTGCTCTTTAACGTGCACTATT